CGTTTATTATTAACAGGTAAATGTAATAATAAATGTGCTTTTAAGATTTTGATGTGGACATTCGACTATAGAGCCCTGCGTATGCCCAAAAAATACACTTTTTTAGAAATCAACGTTATTTTTTTGGTGAAAGTCTCTTTAAGTGTTATTGTTATCATTAGTGCCGGTCTTAAAATATGATTTTTATCAGTAATGATTAAAAATAAAAATCATCAAATGATTTTTAAAAATACTAGATAAAAAGTTTTTGCAGATTTGATTTTGATTTTGATTTCTTTAATTATCAATATTAAACCCTGATTTTTACATATGGTGCAATGAAGTCATGGCCACATGGTGGAAAAGACAAAATGTCGATTTTTATCATCATTTGTTTTCAAGAAAATCTACTAAAATTCTCACTCTGTTCTCTAAATTCTTATATTATTATTATATATAAAAACATTTTATTGAGAAATATTACAATCTGTCACAGTTAAGGACACTTACAATAGAGTTCAGAGAGTACATTCATACCGTATATACAGAAATATAAATAAATAAAGTAATAACATAAAAATAAGAAAAAAGAACAAAAAAGGAAAAAATAAAATACATATATATATATATATACATAAGTGAGTAAAAATAGAAATCAAAGTAAAACAAACATCTTAGATACAAGGAAATGCTCATATTAAAGAAAATTTAGTTTTAGAAACAATTGAAATAAATCATAATTCGCATATGCTTGGGCGAATTAAAATAGTTAATTTATAATAATAAACCAAAACTTTTGTACAGTTTACTGTAGCCTATATCTTTGCTCATAATGGTCCGATTTCGATATATATATTTTTTTACGTATTTTTTCTGTTATGGCAATTTTAAAAAAAAAAATATTTTTTTATACAACAATCTGCCATTATATTAAATAAATAAATCTGCTTATATTAAAGAAATTGATATGTCCAATTCGTTGTAGAAACAATTAAAGTTATATATGTTCAATTTATATGAATAATAGTAACATTTATATATGCTCTTGTAATTTTTTCCTATAGAGTTATATATATTTAATAAATCTATCCTAACAATATTACAACTCAAGTTATCTTATATTTTTTTCAGTTACTTTATTTGTTAAACTTTAGTCTCGTTATCTGTTTAATTACATTTATCACGTGCAACCTCCACTAGCTGGTTATCCACTGATATCTTATTATTATGTTATCTTATTCTTATTTTAGCTTTACCAGATCATTACTTATTCGTTTTCAATTTTTTTATTCGTCAACTCTCATTTTTTTTTTTCTGTTAACCTTCAGTTACCAAATTTTATTTTTCCAATTTTATTTTTTAGATTTACCAAAAATCTTTTCATCACAATCTATTTATTTTTAACTTACACGCTATATTCATTTTTTTTTTTTCTTATTCACACTTATTATCTATTTTTGTTTGTATCTTTTATACATGTAATATTTAATATTGTAACTATACAACCACACACTATATCTCTGATGTTATCTTATTATTTCTTTATCAGACAACTGTTTCTAATTTAATATCTCCTTATAATTCATTTATTTTACTTCTACCATGTTACTTTTATATTTAAGGCCTACGAAGTGGGTCTAAACAATTAAAATATTATTTTAAATATTTAGTATTTATTTATTTAGTATTAGTCCGTAAATGATACACCACGACCAGACCGTTGAACATCGTTAATGTCTAAATTTCCTGAATGAAATTTGGCTAACCAATTTTGACAGGTGCATTCGGTGAAGGCATCATCCTCATAAACACCGAAAAGTTTTCCATGAGCTTCTGCAGCTTATTTAAAATAATAAAACAAAATAATGAGTGGTATTCACAGTGCAATAGCAAAAATTTTATTTATCAAAAAAACTGATTGTTGGTCCCCCTCCGGAATTCATTTATCTTTTCCGCTGAAATCATTGCTATCAGCCACATATTCCAGTCATACTGTATTGTAAGCATAGAAAGCAGTGATTCCAGCAGCAATTCCAGGGTCGGTATATTTCATTGTTATTAATTTTAATTATTAATAGAAACGAATTAAAATTAACTACTGTTGAAATTTAGAATATATTTTTGGTGGCGGGGATAGAAATTATAGCAATCAACACCGATAATAATGACAAGATTTTAAAAGTGTAGTGTATGAGAATATAGGTTTACATTTACATTTCATTCATTCATTCATCATTATATAATATATAATACAGAAGAAAAGTTAAAATATCAACAACGCGAGATTAATAATACGAATAACAAATTATAAATAATAGCTCATTATAAAGGGAATGAAATACTAAACATTTTCCTCGCTTTTAGTATGCAGGTCCGATTTTTATTTTCTGACTTATTTCAATCCATATTTTCAATAAAAATCGTTATCATTTGGTTTTCGACACGTTTTCCTTCATTTCGCCTCCGTAACACGGTGTCGCGTTAAGATACAATTTTTGATAATAGTCTGTGACGTAGAGGATGAAATGCTAAACAATTCCCTCAGTTACAGTATCCAGATCCGATTTTTATTTTATGAGATATTTTAATCCATGTTTTCATTAAAACTTGTTATCACTTGGTTTTCGACAATTATTGTTTCCATTTTCGCCTCCCTAACACAGTTTAGCGGTCGAATTAATTCCATGTCCTTAAATAGAGCACGGATATGTGGCCAAAAAAAATCTTGAACCTTAACACTTGAGATATCGGAATTTTTTTATTTTTTATACATTGTATTGTAAGGTATACATTGTAATTCATTCATTCCTTCATTTTTCGTTGAAGTTTTCAATGATGAAAACATGCTCAAAAAACACCTCATTTTTGGACCCAAAACACCAATTTGACATGTAATGGTGCCTGATAGAGATTTTCATACATTGGGTTCAGCATACCTCAAAACATAAAAAAAAATACTTTAGAGGAAGACGTATATGAACATTGGGCATTTAAGCCCTGTAAAATGACATTAACGGGGAACAGAGCTAAATGGTATTAAAAACCACTTAATTATACAATGATACACCGAGTTTGATCGAAATCGTTAGAGCCATTTTTGAGAAAATTGTAAAAATGCGTTTCAGCGTTCATGTAAAGTGGCACTTCCGGTTAGCCTATTTTAACGAAAAAGTTGCTGTCACATCCGGCTCATATACAAATCTTAAATACTTAATATCAGTTTCGTACTACTTTTCGTTTTGCGGGACTTGGTTATTTGGTCGCAAATGTGGTTATTGTATCGGATTCCCTAAGTACTCTGAAAGCTATGAATAACATGTATCCAGACCATCCAGGGATACACTGCATTCTAAGTCTTCTAAAAATGCTTCATGGAGTCGGAACAACGGCACATTTTATCTGGTCACCTGGCCATATAGGAATTAAAGGAAATGGCTGTCAGTATGTCAGCATCCCTGGGAAATCAGAAAGAAATCGTTACCAAAGTCATCAAGTTCCTGGATAGTGAAAGACTTAAAAAACACATCTGACAATCTTTTTTCTATTTATTTTTTTATTTATAAATTTTTTTTTATCTATTTATTTTTATTATATTTTCTCATATTATTATTTATTTATTTATTTTTTCACTTGATTTCATTTCATTTTAAATTCATTTGTTTATTAATCTCAATTCATTTATTGATTCTACTGCTATTTTTTAAAGTTTATTTATTTATACATTTTTTATACATCTTATTACCTATAAATGTCTATTATTATCCTTATTTATTTATTTTATTCTATCAATCCATTTCTTTATTTATTTTATTTTTTTATTATTATTTTTTTGTACCAATCATCCAAATAGTATTAAATGATATTATTTAGTTGATCGGGCGCTTATGACCTTGATGTTTTGCGCCTAGACATCGAAACAAACAACCAAACAAACTTGGTTATTTGAACACAGAGGACCTCAAAACATGTATTTCCGATGAAAACTGAGATTCGAAAATTTTCACTATCGCAATACTTACCCTTACTATATATTACATATATACGTAAGTGAAAGTAATATTTGTGGTAAAGGGAGGATTTTGATGCACACCAGTGTAATTGTAGTTGGGAGTATATAAAATAATTTTGCTTCTATATAAGAAATAATTATATCTTTTTATTATATTTGACTTAACTATAAATATATGCATTATAGATGAAAATATCGATCAAGGTGAGTGCAGACCAATGGCTGAGCCCGACGAAGCCCGACTTTCGTTGCAGAAAGAGATATAGTCATCTTTAAGAATAAATTATATCCTACAATAAGATGTTTTCGAATGTTTAACGTGCTTCCATCATTCCTTGGTGAGTACCTGTTTATTTATTATCAATTAGGCATACACTTATTTATAAGTTATTATAAAATTTCTAATCTACTTAAATGTATTATTAATTAAGTTCAATCTTTTAAAAGTAATCTTCTCTAAAATATAATATTCTGTGACAGAATATTATATGTCAAAAAAAAAAAAAAGTATATATATATATATATATATAAACTGAAAGGCGTAGATCTATCTAGATTCCATTCCTGTTGAGGGGGGGGGAGGAGGGAGGATAAAATGGGCTCACCCCCTTTTCCAAACAAAATTGTGAATGAAAATCATAAGTAATAATTTAGTTAATCATTGTAAACTGAACAATATAATATTATACATAAAAATTAAATACTATATATGTGTTTACAATTTCATTTTTTTTTTATGTGTGTTTAAGTTTATCTGAAAATATTTACACATAACTATTGAATATATTATATTGAGGTCGTGAAAATTGAAATGAAAAATAAATGAAAGAAAAAATATTAAAATTTATATATTTTTCAAGGTTACATATAAAAAATATGCATAATACACAACAGCCATAAAATCAGTCTTAACAATAATTCATTTAATTGTTCTTATATATTTAAAAATATATATATATTGATATATTTACTAACAACAAAAAAAACTGAAAATAAGTGATACTATTTCAGAAATACAAAAATATTATAAAACTAGCCTAAATTACTAATAGAATAAATAATAAAAATCAGGTTTGAAAATCAGGATTTTTTACTAATGACTGTAATTAAATATATATTTATTATTAAAATTAGTTATTTATTTTCTAATCGTCATGCAACTATTATCATATAATGCCATATAACATTTATCGCTTAGTTTTCCTTTTAAAAAATATAAATAATTGGAACACTATAAATTCTTCAACTCATATTATATCTAAAATTCCTTTAGATTAAAATTTGTATAAATTTAAATTATAAATCGTTTAGGCTTCCTGGGGGTTTGAGATCCAATTCGAAACGTCTGTCTATATTTTTTAAGTTAAAGTGTCAGTTTTTGTATGTATGTTGTGGATTTAATTTTTTTATTGTTACTTTTTATGGAGATAGGTATATTACTATTTTATGAATTTTGGTTCTCTTCGCCTACTTTAGTTTTACTTAATGAACTGGTGTTGAAACAAGGATGGAGGTTTCATTTTCATTTTTATATGGGTCACCGAAAATTTCACTGTTTAAAATAAGATATGAAATAAATATATAACTATATAGAGATTGTCATTGGTAAACAATCCTGATCTTCAAAGAATATAAACATGCAAATATTATCTACTAAAGATCACGTTTTACAATAAAGCCTAAAAAAGATACGAAATGCCTATAATCATTTGCGTTAGAGGCATTCCAATAATAAATAAATAAATTATAATAAATTATATATAGATCATCATTATTGTCTGATTGTATATAATAAAAACAAAAATCGTTAAATAAAATCCAAGATTTCGTTTCATTCAATACTTTTCTAGTGGTTTGCTTTCAAGGTATCTTCTCCTTATTTTTGTTCTGATTTGTTCTTTCACCGAACTCAAGATTCCTATGATAGAAGTTAAGATAACAGCACCATAAACTGCCAACAAAGATATCAATATTTTTAAATTAATATTAATTATAACAATATTTAGCTTACTTTTGAGTAAACATAAGAAAATAATAAAAAAATATCTTTTTATCATCATAAATAATATATACTCCTATATATAATATAATAATATATACTTGTTCGTGTGTGAGAGTGTTTGAAAATAAATAAACTTATCAAAAAATGAAAAAATAATTAAATAAAAACCTAAGCTATTCATGTTGTTAGGAATTGCTTTCATATTTTTTTCTCCTAAAACCATCAAATGTTTTCATTCTTGAACAACTTACCCCGTATAGTACTGATGGGTCATTTAATGATTTTTAAAATGTTAATATCTTCCTGTGATTCTTAAAATTAATTACAGTTTAAACTATGTTGTATATTTCTAATTACAAAGACAGATTATCATAACATCAGCTGTTAATTTTTTTTTTTGAAAATATTACTATCTGTCTCAAAATACATTTATAATAGTAGCTGTTAATTGCCAAATGATGTATAACCTAAAAGTACAACCTAGAGATGTGCAGTTATTATAACGGATTACTTTAAAAATAATCTTCCGAAAATTACATCTTGTGATTTATAATTATAATAGGAATTATAATTTTATTAATGTTATCAGACTTATTTGACCGAATACTCTTAAGATATTGTTGACTAGTCTTTTAATAAATGAGTATATATTCTATGTTTTGACAGAGCTAGTAACAACTTACCACAGTTTATTAACAACCAGCCCCAAATTAGGGGGTGTTGTTACTTTTTGCTTACCTGGGTGAAAAAAAATTGAAAACGTCCCAATTCCGAGAATCTTCGTAAATAAAATATTTGTATTTTCTTTTTTCTTTTTTTCCTGGGAAGTTGTCAATTTATTTAGTTGCTTGGCAATAATAACTCCCAATTATTAACAATACGAGTATATTTTTAACGTTACATGTTAACAGGCTAGTTTACATTTTATACGTTATCACAGTATAAAACTACAGCATAAATTTAACTTCAAAAAACCACAAATAATTGGCACAGAACCAAAGAACACCAACAGAAAATTACTTGAAGCAATACACATTACAAAAAACAACAGAACTACAGTCAACTACAAAACAGACACTAAACATTTAGGAACCCATTACACAGACATATTGAACAAAATTAAAATTTAATAGAAGTGAAATCACAGACACATAAAATAACACTGACAACAACAATCAAAATAGTCAGATAAAACATTTAGATCCAAATGTCAAATTTTCACTATGGCAGAAACCCAATTATTGGTCAAAAGGAGAATGTTGCTCTAGATGATAAAGTTTAGAACATAAATTAGAAAATTGACGATGGAGCACATTATTATTTTTATTATTAGAATTAAGGTAATTACAAATTTATTGTAACAAACATAATAAAAATATGTAATGTAACAAGCACAATATTGTAACTTAAAAAAAAAAATTTTAGCCTTGCATCCACAAGAGTATTGGAATTGCAGTTCTAAAGATGGGAATAAAAGGTTCCGAAACGTAAACTAGACTGTTAACATGTAACGTTAAAAATATACTCGTATTGTTAATAATTAGAAGTTATTATTGCCAAGCAACTAAAAAAATATTTGTAGGTTACGATGAGATGAAGCTATTTACGAAGTTTCAGCCAGTTGTTGATAATTTGATAAAAAGGGGCCTGTACCACAGACTATTACATTGAGCTTCCTTTTCAATTTCATAATAATTATTATCATATCACAATGCAATATAAATAATATTATATATAATATAATTGAGCCATTTGGTTTCGAATTCAATTACATTTTTTCATAAAAGATCACAATTGTCAATAATATTTGAAAATGCATGTAACCATTTTTGAAACCAGACTCCTCAATTAATATATTCTATTCAAGGGGAAAATGTCTAGATCGAAAAATAAGCAGAAATCATACTATTACCTCCAAATTAATACTATTTCTCATACAACATTTTTGTCAAAAATCTTTATTTTGCATGAGGAGAGTAGGGTTTTACAGGAGCTCAATACATATATTGTACCGTAATTGAGAAATCAGTGTGTAAATTTTTTAATAAAGTGTCTATTTTTTATTAAAGTAGTAGGAGGTTACAAGAGTTCAACTCATATGTAATTAAATAAACACCTGTATAATTATTGCCTAATATAGAGCTGATAGGAGAGCTCTATAATAATCTGTAATATCCTGTTCTCCTAATAATAAAATAAAATATGAAAGTCAATAAAAACTTTTTTGTATAATAGAAAAATTAGTATTGGTAATCGGAATTGAAATGTTCTAATAATTTAACTCATCCATATTTATTTCACTCTTATATAGCTTGTAATACACTTTTTTTTGTCTTTAAAAAATATATTTGCGCCTGTCAAGTTATTGTTGACAATCAGCAAATGTGATGCCGAAATAATGACATGACAGGCATGGGGAAGGAAAGTACTCAGCAGTACCTCTTCCCTAACTTGTTCCAATTACTTAGGTTGCCTAAGGAAGGAGATCCCTCATCCAACGCCTTTTTAGTCTCCTCATGTCCTGAGGTATGTCAGCTGTGGCCATGTCTCTTATTAGTCTGTTATTATGTCCGTTTAAATTTGTGTAAAATCCTTGATAAAGTGTTGTGATATGCTGGTCAACTGTTGAAAGTCGAGGTCAATACGTAGAGTTTTGTTAGTCACGTACCAAGGTGCTTTTGTTATGAGTCACAATAATTTTGAAGTTTTTGTAGGTGGGTCTTTTTAGCGATGCCGTATATTTGTATGTCCATATGGGCTTAAGTAAGTATGTATATATATTCGGTTTCTGTTTTAGTTTTAGTTTTGAAGATTTGGCAAAAGGAGATTAAAGCAGTTTGTGTCGTTTTTTAAGTGTCTTACGTTTCATTTTAACATGTGGGCCCCATGGCATCCTTCTGTCGAAGGTGAGTCCAACTTTAGAAATATACTTGATTAACCATTTTACAGTTTTGACCATTTCCCTAAATTAACTTTTTTCCCTATAAGTTGAGTCAATAAAATAATAACACTATAATCTTAATCAGATAATTTAGAATTACCCAATTCTGGTGCACGTTATATGCTGAAGTGAATGACAGAGATTACTTCAATCTACCTTAGTGAGAAGATAATATGCATTATTTATTAAAAAATATATACAAAATATTACTTACTTATCCATTCCAATGGGTACATTGACGGACCATTCTTCATATCATCGTGTGTTGATTCCTGAAACAAAAATTAGATTACAGTAAAAATGAATATTTTTATACTAAAAAAAATACTACAAGATAATGAAGAGGGAGTCTCTATCGTGTTTAAATTTTTAAAGATTATAAACTACTATAATAGAGTATAAATTATAGAAAACGCTAATGACCCTTTAGGGTAGAGGCGAGAAAAATAGAAAAAAAATATGTATTGTATAATAAATAAATATTTTATAAATAGGACATATATGAAAGTATTGGGCCATTCCATGCCAAACCATCCAGAGCCCAACATTTTAATGAAAATTTATTTCCAGGGCGCCTCTAAGTAGATGAAAACATTTATAAGAGCTACAAAAAAGTATAAAAGTTTAAGTAACAGCACTCTTGCTCAATCTCCACTGGGTTTAACCCCAGTGACGCGATTGAGAGAGTAGTGCAGGGATCTCCTGGATTCATGCTTTTCCCTCCACAGTTGGAGAGACAAGTCTGGTTTGGAGTTCTCTCGCCAGATTGTAAATATTGTATATAGGTATGTGTTCTTTTTATTTATTTATTGTTAGGTTATTTTATTCTTTTTATTGTATATATATTACTTTTCTGTATAATTTATTTTATTTATTGTACATGGAGTGTGAATGTGATCTCTGAACACTATTATAAATGCCTTTGGGACAGATTGTAATATTTTTCAATAAGTTAAAAAAAATATTAATTAATAAACTATTACTTTACTGTAAACTAGACTAAATTTTTCATAAATTAAATTGAGTTTTTTCATTGTTAAAACCATTTAAATTGGACTTTTAAATAGCTCAGCTAAGCTAAGTTCTGTGTTTTAAAAATATCATATATTATTCGCGATTTTTTTTTTTTTATCATCGTCCGACAATACTAAAGAGGCCCCACTTTTACGAAATCTTACAAATAATACAAATAAAATCATCCATAAACACCTCAGTGTTCCATATGTTTCCGATTTGGCCCAATCCAGATATCTATCCTTCCATAACAAACTCCAGAACCTTCCGAACCCTCTCGTTTCAAAACTTGCTTCCTCCTCGATCCCTGTTAACTCTCTGAGGCGTCTGAAAAGAAGATGGCCTCGGGACCTCCTAATATAGAAATATAATTGGAGTGCTACAAATGGGTAGTTTCTCAACAATCATTTTCATGTGATTGCAGTATTACTGTGTGCACATGTACTAGTTGTATTTTTTTTATAATACAGTTGTAAATATCAATGAATAAAAAAAAAAATAATAAATATGAGGTTTTTTTAGGAAAAAACTTGAAATTCATTTCAAATTATGTAAAAAAAAAATAAAGGGATTTTATATTTTTTCATCTAAAAGTACCCACATTTTCAGTAAAAATGACTACAATTAATTGTTGAAAAGCTTTTATTTCTTCTGTTTCTATTATTCAAGACATAATAATAATAATAATTGCCTTAAAACACTATTTATTTATTTAAAAAAATTATAAAAATAATGATTTTATCGATTATTCATGCTTTAAAGTGATAATGAAGATGTGTTTTTACTATGAACTATAATGAAATAATTAATCAGTGACGAAAAAATGTTTGTAATCCTAAAATTAACATTAAAAATAAAGAAACCTGGTGATTGCATTAATTATTTTTGTGAAAACGTAAATATTAGGACTTTCAATCGACAGGATATCAAATCACATATTTATTTTACACAACTATAGGTGAATCACAATTTTTTTCCCATGAAGATGATTAAACGAAGAAGTTTACCTATAATTGGGGTATCTATAGTTTATTTTAAGGGTTATAAAATAAAAAATCTTAAATAATTTCATATTTTTTTTTAAAAAGCGAACTTCGCTTAGTTTAATCGCTCAAAAGTAATTTTAAAATGATGTTTTAACAATGACGAACTCTATTTTCTTCTAAAGTAAAGAAGTTATTAAATTGGATATTTATTTAGTTATCGGTGCCTATTAAAAAAAAAAAAAAAACATGGCTTACTCAAAAGGTTTCCTACTTAAAATTAACATATTGTTTATATGAACTTTTTTGTAGCTATTTGGTCTGCTATCATTTCTATAAAAAAATTAAACATAATTTAAACAATTTACAGTGTTTTACATGCACTCTACTGGGTGTTTCAGGGTTGAGTGGCTAAACTAAGTTCCTTAAATCAAGAAAAAAATTTCCACTGAAGGTATATCAACAAACGTTTTGTTTAGGAGATATTCATACCTAGATATTTTCGTTGTTACGAATTATTTACGTTATATGAAATAAATAAAACCTATTTATTACTTCTAACTACTTTATTTATTAAACGTAAATATTAACATTCATAATAAATGTTGTTCATAATCTGTAATTTTCAGGAAAATAATAATCTCAGGACGCAGGAAAATCACCATGCAGTTCGTGAGCTTCATTTTGAGTACCGGTTTCAGTACAATATGTGCTTGGGGAAAATATACATTATAACAACAAGATGTATTTTGAAGAAATTCATAGACACCAAATACCAGAACACATTGTCTATGAAGATGGTTCAAAAAGTCAGGCTAAAGTAATAAACGATTACCAATAGAATAGGTGCCTTTTATTTATAAAACAAAGAATAAGATATTAAATTCTTTCTCACTGGTATAAATGATCTTCTCTATTAACTATAATAATAATAATAATAATAGCAGGCTTAGCGAACCCGAAGGTTCGATGCCGACACCACCAATCGCTTATTACACACCTCCCTCCACCGTTCGCCGTCCAAACCCAGTCCCTTCAGATCGGCCTTAATGCAATCTTCCCACCTTCGCTTAGGTCTACCCCTCGGACGCTTACCATTCGGCACAGCAAATATTAACCTTTTAACAATTCTCTCGTTACTAAGCCCAACAACTTTACAAGCCCATTTGATTCGCCGCGATGAAATTATCTCAATTATATTCCTCGGATACAGATCACGCAATTCCTCATTGTGTAACCGTCTGAACTCTCCGGTTAACTCATCCTTCTTCGGTCCGAATATTCTACGCAATACTTTATTTTCAAAAACCTTCAGACGCTGCTCATCCCTTAATGTAAGCGGCCAAGTTTCGCATCCATAAAGAACTGTAGGCAAGATAATTGTTTTATAGATTCTAATTTTTAAGTTCCGGGACAAGAGGCGCGAACTAAGTAGTTTTGTCACAGAAAAATAACAAGCATTTCCCGCCTTCAGTCTAACCTTAATCTCTTCTTCAATTTCGTTTTTTCTAGTTATCGTAGAACCTAGATACCTAAATTTATCTAACTGTTCAAACATATTACCATCTATATCGATGTCACCAGTAGTATCGCCATTTTTGCAGCTAACCATATATTTTGTTTTATCCACGTTTATTTCGAGTCCTAGTTCTTTCCCGGCTTTCATTAACGTTGTCGTATTTAGTTTTATAGTTTGTACGTCTTCGCTTAACAGTACCAGATCATCAGCATAGCCCAGCACGGATGTTGTCCCGCCCAGATCCAACCCTTTCTCGGTTCGCATTACCTCCCTAATAGCAAGTTCTAATGCCAAATTGAACAAGACAGGCGAAAGAGAATCCCCCTGTTTTAAGCCCGAACGAACCTCAAATTTTTCGGACAAATTATTACCGATTCTAACATTATTGAGTGTCTCCGTCAAGCACATCCTGACTAGATTTACTAGTTTTTTTGGAATCCCCTGCTCGATTAGAATATTATACAGTTTCTGGCGGTCAATAGAATCGTAAGCCTTTTTAAAATCTATATACAGCTGGTGAACAATACCGTTATACTCCAATTTTTTCTCTAATATTTGCCGTAAAGAAAATATTTGATCAATTGTCGAACGATTCCGTCTAAATCCGCATTGGTAGTCTCCTCTCTATTAACTAACTATATAAAATTTAGTTACAATATGTTTGAGATATCATTTATATCAATATTTTGTTTAAAAAAAGATTTTATTGAACATATTAAAGATTCTTTGTGTACGATTGTCTAAACTTACTTTTAAAACGTCTACCGGGTCATTCTGCGAATCATTTTGATGACCTGAAAAAAATAATTATTTAATTAGAAAACATAAATGTAAATGTATTATATATATCTGAGACATATTAAAATCAATGCTTTAATTTATTCATTTCATGTATATGGTAGAGCTAAATGATCAAGTATGCTAACTACAGATCGTAAGGAATTTAAATTGATATATAAAGTAAAAATTTAAAGCATTTACTTTGAATATAACTCATCTTTAATAAATTATAATTAAAAATGATTATATTTCTGTGTGCACATTTACTTGCTGTATTTATATTAATCCAGTTGTAAATATATTAACTAAATAAAAAAAAAAATAAAAAAAATATATTTATCCATATTATTATTTTATTCAAAAAGTTAAAAACAAGAATATGTATAAGTTATGTTAAAATATTTACAGTTCTCATGTTTAAAGAGGATAATGTTCTGTAGACGGGGAGTGTTACTCCCTCTTTTAAATAATAAACCACATGAAGCAGTAATGAATGCTATTTAAAATTGGGAAATGACCTTAGCTATTTTTCAACATTTTATTTTTTCATATCAACCTTTTGCGTTTCAGATATTAATATTCAATTTATTCGTAGCTTACTGAAGTTGGAGATGATTGAAGTAAAGTTAAACAGGCAAGCTGGCTTCATGATGTCTCTGAAGACTTTCTTTGCCAATGATCCTTCTTCGTCAGGAAGCATGTTTGACTCGTTCCACCTTGCAGCAGGAGGCAAAGGTCCTGCAAAAGGAACAAAAGGTCAGTTCTTCATAAGGAAAGATATAGATAAGGTTAAATAGAATAAGCGTTTGAATATTATTACTAGTTCTGAAAGAAAAACGATTAACTCTCTTAAACACTAGTAAATAAATAAATGAATAAATTTCAGTCGGTGCTATAAGCCAAGTAGATTCTTGCGGTACATAGTCTCATCTCCCAGAAATAAAAAAAAACTTTTCTTTGTTTTAGAGTAATCCAAAATAATATATATATAAAGTAATTAAAAACAACAAAGATAGAAATAATAACCTGAATTAAATAAAAGATAAGGTATAGCACCTGCAGCCATTTTTGTATAGAAAGCGTTTTGATGGGAAGTTTGATCAAAGTATATTTTGCCATATCATTGAAACAACACTATATATAATAAAAACGCTATTCAAAAATATATTATAAAAATGATATGTGCAATATCTTTTGATTTTGATGCTAAAAAAAGTAATATATACAATGATGAAACGATTAATTAAAATAACCTTTACTTTAAATGCACAAGAAACAATATAGGGCGTGGCTTCGGTAGCCATCTTAATGTAGAAAGCATTTTGGTGGGAAGTTTGAACAAAGTATATTTTCCCATTGAATTGATACAGCACTAGATATAATAAAAACGTTAAACCAAAATATATTATAACAATGATATGTACTATACTTCCTAATTTTGATGCTAACAAAAGTAATATATATATAATGATGAAATGATTAATCAAAATAACCTTTACTTGGAATGCACAAGAAACAGTCTAGGGCGTGGCAACGGCGGCCATATTTGTTTAGACAGCGTTATGGCGGGAAGTTAAATTCAAATTAAATTTTTCATTATAGAATGATCTATTGGTATAAATGAAAATCATGGACACAAAGCATTTTTTTTTTATTACAAATCAGTTTCTTATATATTCTATTAAATAAATGAATACAAATAAAATCTTATTGTAATAAACAATTCTCACTAGGTAATTTGAAAGATATTTCGATTAATATTTTTGTTTAGTTATTTTTTAATTGAAAAGACCTTCATGTTATTCGGAAACAGATTTTTAACTAATAACTAAGCTTTTAAAATAAAATAATAAGAAGTTATTCTACGATTTCTTTTACATTTGAAAACAAAAAGAAAGAGAGATAATTTATATAGAGTTACTAATAGCAGCTATTCAAAAAAAAAAAAAAATGATATAATTGAATTCCTACTTCTCTACTTTTATTTAAATATTTAAAAATTGTATGGTCACTTTTAAAACGTTGTTCATATTTGACCGATAAGGTTAAAGTTGTATTTTATCAGAAGGATAAGTCTTAAAATAACACTATTGATGATTATACAAAAACATTATTTACAATAAAATTGAAGTTACCTGCGAGAGTTGCTGAAATGGATGTTAACAGGAGGAGGTACTGGCACATGACTGAACGGCGTCATCGAATGGCGGTGTTATATCGATTTATGAATAGTTTAAAACAATCGATAGTACTAATTACTATCGATACTTTGCTACCCTTAGGCACAAGTTATTCTTTAGTTATTTTTTTAGAAATGTTTATAATGTTGTCTGTAGTTTTATCTTTCTCAAAAAATTAATAACTGTAACTATAACTCCCCATTTTGTTTTCTATAAAATCTACAATAAATCCAGCACATTTTTATTATGATTTTATAATAATGTTATTAAATTAAATCTGGGAAATCAAAGAACACACATTTCTTACAGTCTTTTTTTTATCTTTTTACGTTTTTGGGAAATAGTTTAATTTAGATTTTATGTTCAGGAAATCCGTCCCGGGCATGACGTTAAACTGCTACCTGGGTGGACAGGACTCATAGCCTTAGTGAAGGCAGCCTGTCTAGGGGAAGGCAACCCCAAAATCAAACCACTGTCCTTGCAGTTTAAAAAAGGTTGATCGTACTGCCAGCACCCCTTCATCGGAAAAAAATATTTCGCTTTCAAACCCAAAACAGAAAGAAAACCGGACAGATCTAATCGGCAACGACTTAAGGCGCGGAAACGGAACATGATTTTTGGTACCTGGAATGTTCAAGGTTTGAAGACCAAGAAAAACGAAGTGGAAAATGAACTGATAAAGCAAAATATCGATGTGGCAGTCCTCAGTGAAACTAATATCAAAGGAAGTTGCAATGAACTTTCAGGAGATTTCGTGTATATCTACAGTGGAGTGGAAAAAAGTGAGAGAGCTAGAGCTGGGGTTGCAGTGGTGATTAACAAAAGATTGCGCAGGTATATTAAAAATTATGAATTTGTAAATGAAAGAATAATTAAACTCGAAATGGCATTGTTTGGAGAAGAGGTTGTTATTTTTGGGATCTATGCTCCAACTGAAGATTCCAAGCAATCCATAAAAGACACGTTTTTCGATGATATTTGCGACTTGATAGAGCGAACACCTGATCGTAAGATTGTTATCTGTTTGGGCGACTTCAACGGACGTGTTGGCAGCAAGTTCAACGATGAGACCGTGGGACGCTTTGGAGAAGAGGTAACTAACGATAACGGTGCAAGATTAATAAGTTTATGTGAGCAATTAAACATGAAAATATTAAATGGATTCTTCAAGCATAAAGAAATTCACAAATTCTCCTGGCACCAGCCCACTAAAGGTCTAAAATCAATCATAGATTATATAATCCTCAGGCGCACTACTAGGATAAAGGTAAACGATGTTAGAGTGATGAGAGGGGCGGAATGTGGTTCGGATCACTTTCTTTTAAAGAGTATTCTGAATTTTAAACCCCATAATCTTCTTAGAAACTCTCCAGGGACCAGAGGAAATTCAGACTCTTCGAAAACGATTCGATACTCAATTGAGAGTATGAAAAATCAAGAATCAGTAAAAAGACTGTTCCAAAGCCGACTGATGGAGAAATTGAATCAAGAGAAAGGTCTGAATGATCGGCTAAATTACGAAAATATAGTAAAGTGCCTGCATGCCGCAGCTTTAGAAGCTGTCGGAGAGGAAAGGAAAGAGGTTAGAGGAAAAAACAAGCCTTGGTGGAATGAGGATGCTGAAGTGGCTGTTCAAGAGAAAAAATATTTATACAATAAATGGTTGAGCTCTAAAAATGAGAAGGACCTGAGGGAATATAGAAATGCCTGTAAAAAAGTAAAAGCTATTAGAAGGAAGGCTTTAAATATCTATTGGGAGAAAACCTGCAAGTATGTGGACACTTACATTGATGGACAAAAGTCTAGTGCTGCTTGGAGGACATTAAAAAGATTGAAAAATCCCAAAATATGTGGTGATAACTTCCCATTGATCAAGGAGCAGCAATGGGTGAATTACTTTGAAGAATTATTTCATGAGGAGCGACCCGAATTCGCATGGAACCAATCCGATGAAATAATGCTAAATAAGGAAGATATACCTCCAGTCACAATCATAGAACTGGATTCAGTCCTCAAAGGAATGAAAAATAGAATATCTCCCGGCCCTGGTTCTATTCCAATTGAATTAATTAAAGCAGGCCCGACCGAACTCAAAATGGCACTGGCAGAAAGTATGACACTTCTGTTAAATGGTGGAGAGATTCCTGAAGAATGGAAACAGGGTTATATCACTCCAGTTTTCAAAAAAGGCCAAAAGAAAGATGTTTCCAACTACAGAGGTATTACTGTTACCAGCTCGCTCAGTAGATTATACTGCCGGATAATGAAAAGCAGAATTGAAAATGATTTAAAGGAAGAGATCAGCGAGGAACAGGCGGGTTTTCGAGCTGGAAGATCATGCACTGATCACATTTTTAGTCTCTCACAACTTATAGAAAAGAGGATGGCCCACGACCGTGAACTCCATATGATATTTGTAGATTTACACAAGGCCTATGATTCAGTACCTCTAGCGAAATTGTGGAAAGCTTTGGAAGCCACATCTATTAAGAGATACCTCATCAGAGCAATTCAAGAGCTCTATAAAAATAGATAGATAGATAGATAGAAAAAAAAACTTTATTCTGGGACTAAGTCCCTTCAGAATAACAATAATGTACAAAATAATAGAATATTACTGGCCTGAACGTTGAAACAATAAATAAAATTGATAAAATAAAATAAAAAGTAAAGAAAACCTTAGGTGCACAAGCTATATACAAACAGATAAAACTATGTACAGAGTATTTAAAATTATGAACAAAACAATTAAAACTATGAACGAATCACTTGAACTATGAACAAAATTATATTTAAGGGTTGAACAACATAAACATACACTTTGAGAAATGAAGAACGAAAAAGAGATACAATGAGTTCATTTCATAAAAAAAAAAAAAACTTTACTTGAATATATATATAAAAATAAACAGTTACTTATAATTGAATAAAAAAAAATAAAATAAAAAAAAATGTATGTATTGAAATTCCTACGTCGATAGTAGGAAATGCATGTACTATCTCTTACCAAGTGTTATGATTATATGATTGCTACACAATACATATATAATATCAATAGTTAGCTGGTATCAGACTGTTTTTGGAACAGGAATTGGAATAGGAGGTTTTTGAATGTATACAGGGAAGGGGCATGTCGAATTTTGATCGGGAGGGAATTCCAAAAGTTGACAGAGCGGGCTATAAAGGAATTTTGGAATGAGGCAGATCTATGAGAAGGGATGTATAGGTCAGAGGGTCGGGATCTTGTAGTGAGTGAATGGATTGAGGACTTAAATTGGAGAAGGTTGTAGGCATAAGAAGGACGATGATCGGTAATGATTTGATAAAGGAAAGTGCCAAGGAAATATTGTCTTCTTAAGGAGGGGAAGAGCCACCCTAACTCAGTGTAGTGGTGGGAGACACGGGAGCGTCTCGGGGTTCCGATTACAAATCTTACGAAGCAATTCATAAGTCTTTTGAGTCTATCACGCAGTTCCACCGAGAGGCCATCGGACACCACACAGCTGTAGTCAACGTGGGGAAAGAGGAGAGAGGAAACTAGGAGTCTACGGGTATTTT